CACACACACACACACACACACACACACACACACACACACACACACACCTAAAAATTATGTTAGAAGAAAACAGCTGTTCTAATGAACAGAGGGAAATCGATTTGCTTCAACTAATTAAAATATCACAGTTAGCCATCGGCCCCTGAGACTTCTTAGAGGTTAACTTTTAATTAATTATTTTGTGTGTTATTTTTACAGTACTGAGGTGAGGGTGAGCCCGGGGTCCTGCATGCTAGGCAAGTGCTTTACCACTGAGCTGTGGTTTCGGCTCATCTTTTCCTTTTTCCAACGTTAATTTATTTATTATGTGGATGGTGGGGGCTGGCTGGGGTGACACATAGGCTGTGGCACACATGTGGGGTCGGAGGGCAGCTTGTAGGAGTCAGTTCTGTGCGTCTACCACATGAGACTCAGGTGGTCAGCCTTGGTGGCCGGCGCCTGCACCCCCTGAGACAGCACTGACCTCTCCCTTTTCTTTTTGAGGCAGGGTCTTGTTAAGCTCCCCAGAATGACATGAAGCTCACTGTAGCTCGGGGTTGCCCTGAGCTTGAGATCTGCCTGCTTCCCTCTCCCCAGCAACTCTATTACCATTTGTACTACCAGACTCCACTTATTTTCTTTTTAAGGGCATGTGTGTGTTTATGTATATATGCGCAGGCTCATATGTGTGCAGGGACGTGTGTGCAGGTGTGTGTGTGTGTGTGTGTGTGTGTGTGTGTGTGTTGAAGTGTAAAGGCCAGAGGTAACCTTGGCCGTTGTTACAATAGAGTCCACCTTATTTTTTGAGACAGTCTCTTACATTCACATGGAGTTAAGCTTGGCTAGATGATCAGTGAGTCACAGGGATCCTCCTGTCTCAAAACTGTGTGCATGTGCTATGTGTGTTCAGGTGTCCATGGAGGCCAGAAGAGTCCATCAGATCTCATGGAGCTGAAGTTAGAGGCAGGTGTTGGCTGCCCAGTATGAATGCTGGGGACTGAACTTGGGTCCTCAGGAAGAGAAGCAAGTACTCTATGTCTCCAGCCCTTGCCTTCTTGTCTCCAAACACTCAAAAAGATCCACAGTTGTCAAACTATCATATATAACCAAATTGGCACTGGGTCCCCTGGTATTATAGCTGAAGGCCATGACAAGGAGCCTGCCCTGAGAGGAACTGATGGATGGAAAGCTCCCACATGCCCATCATTGCTGGCCAACCCTTCACATGCTGGACTGAAGCCTCAGCATAGCTCTGAGATAGACGCGATTTTTATTTTTGTGGTTAGAGAGGGGAAAACTGAGGGTCAGCAAAGTGAAGTCTTTTGTATAAAGTAAAACAGTAGGTAAGGACTTGAACCTTCATCTACTGGAAAATGTCTTACCTGATTGTGTGTATGTGTGTGTCTGTGTGTGTGTGTGTGTGTGTGTGTGTGTCTACGTGGAGGAGAATTGTGCATGCATGTGTGTATGTGGAGGCCAGAGATTGACATCATGTGATTATCCACGTTTTTTGGGTTTTGGTTTTTGTTTGGCTTGGTTTGGTTTGGGGTTTTGGTCTGAATCTCTTACAGAAGCTGGGGTTTATTCATTCAGCCACTCTGGTTGCCCAGGGAGCCTCCTGTGTCTCTCCCCAGCACTGGGATTACAGATATGTGCTGCCATGCTTGGCTTTTTACATGGGTCTTAGGAGGTCTTGCCTCAGGTCTTCATGATAACTAAGCATGCACTTTTCTGACCGAGTCATCCCCCAGCCCCCTGGTTCCTTCATTTGTCACTACAGGTCCTTTGCAGGAGCAATTTCAAAATCTTCCTATAAAGGAGCCCATTCTTCTTTTCCATTGTTCTGTCTCACTGTCAGTAACATCATATTGAACCTGGGAGTCAGGCAGAGAAGAACAGCAAGGCTGTGTGAGCCCCTCAAGACACATTTTCCACTCTGTTTTCTCTAATCGAGCACCACCTTTCAGAGTTTTTCTAGACATTCTGACAACAGGCACAGGAGAGGGAAATAACACAAAACTCACCATCTGGGTGTGACAGTTAGCCTTTTAAATACTTTATCTCCAATTGTGTGTATACCTATGTGTGTATGTGCACAGGAGTGCAGTGCTTATGGAGGCCAGGAGAGGGCATCTTGTCCCCTGGAGTTACTGGCCTGATTTGAGTGCTGGAAACCAAATTAGAGTCCTAGGCAGTACACGTTCTCAACCACTGAGCCATCTCTCTAACCCCTAATGGTTAGTTTTTAATTGTCAACTTGTCACACCAACAATCACCTGAGAGGAGATCCTCAGTGTGGGATTGTCAAGGTCACGCTGGCCCGCTGGTGTGTCTGTGGGGACTGTGTTAAGTCAATTTGATATGGGAAGACCTAGCTACAGTGGGCAGCATCATTCCTTATGCTCGGGGTCTCGAACTGTAAAACAGAAGAAAGCTGGCTGAGACTAGGCAAGCAAGGGTCCCTGCGTTTTCTCTCTCTGCTCTTGACTAGGAATGTGATGCCTCAAGTTCCTACCTCGACTTCCCCAAAACACCGGCCTGTAACTTGGAATTGTGAGCCAAACAAACCCTTTCTTCCATAAGTAGCTTTTTTTTTTTTTCTTCCCCTGTCAAGGTATCTGTCACAGCAACAGAAATGAAACTAGGACACTGAAAAATAAGTAGTTTCTGGGAAAAAGATAGGGGAACTTCTTTGCACCCGCTGAGTCTCCATCTGATAAAAGAGGATCAGAGGTCAAGGAAAATCTCTGGAGTACGTGGGTTTCTACACAGCTCTGTCCTGATTGCGTGATATGGCTTGAAAACGACTCATGATTTTAACACCAGTTCCCAGATAATGGTGCTATTTGGGGAGTTTTGAAAAGTTTATGATGCGGAAGGGTGGGGGAGGGGTGGGAGCATCATACCTGAAGTGACATGACCTGAAGGAAGTATGTCACAGGTTGAGTCCTTTATCTCTGGCCACCTCACATCTCACTGTGGGCTTCCTCCTCAGCTATGACGTGAACAGCTCTCCTCAACTGTTACTGAGTCCACCATAATGTTTTTACCCAAGCATTTGGGACCGAGAGACTATGGACTGAGATTTCTGAAGTTCTGAGCCAACATTAACCTTTTTTTCTTTAAGTTATTTCTGCCAGGTATTTGCTCACTGTCTTGGTTAATTTTTCTGCTGCTGTGATAAAATATTCTGACAAGGAGAACACTTAAGAAAGAAAGGGTTTGTTTGGGTCACTGTTCCAGGGTACAGTCCACCATGTTGAGGAAGTCAAAGAAGCAGAAATATGAGGCAGGTTGACTCATTACACCCATAGCTGGGAAGCAGGGAGTAATGAATGCTCCTGTTCACTTAACTCTCTCCTCTTTATGTAATCTCAACCCAAGCCCAGGGAGTGGATTTTCCA